AATGAAACAATAAAAATACAATAATGATAGTCTGTTTATGTACTATTATGCTTATGATGCATCAATTGGTTCCATTAACAAGCAAGTTTCTCAAACACTTACTTAGATAGATAATAATGGTGGAATTATGCAACATTAGACATATATTAGCTAGGTCTCACAAAAAAATGCTCCAAGTATTTTATTAGAGAATTGGTCGAAAAGATTAATAATGATACTATAATCGTCCAGTTTGAATTTAAAAAAAATGAGAGACCGCAATTTCATAGCCCCAAGTATTTTAAAAGCTTAGCTCCGCTCTGTCTAGGATAGACATGGTCACGGGCCGAATCGGCCCGTGGCCCGACCCACGAACCGGCACCGGCCCGGCCCGGCCCGAACCAGCCTCCTAAGGGCCAGTTCGTTGAACCGGAACCGTAGGACCGCGATTCGGTCCTGGTTCCATTTTTTTTATTTTTGTCCCGTAGGGCTGGGCCGGGCCAGGCCGGGCCGGGCCAAATTCTTTGTTTTTCTTAAGGGTCGTACCGGCCCGTGAACCGGCCCTTGGTTCTTAGCGGGCCGGTCGCGGTCCGGGTGTTGGAGGGCCCGTGGCCCGGCGGGCCGGCCCGGGCCTTGGCCCGGCACCTGGTCACGTCTAGTCTAGGATGAGAAGCAATCATCTTGAATTATCTAATAGAATGTACCAAATAAGTGATAAGCGATTAAGCGTACGGTTTTGTGCCTTATTGAACGCAAGGTGTGAAATTCCCTTCAATCTTTTTATACCTATTCCATTAAATAGTTGGCAGCTGAAGCAAAATCTTTTTGTTCAAATGCTATAATGCGGTCGTTTTTTATCCTGAGTTGAGCTCCAAGCTAAAGTCTGCAACATTTATGGTGCTCTTACACGGTTATAAAGTGGTGAGGATCAAGATAATGTACCTACACTTATGAGTAGAGCTGCTCTTAAATAAAAAATTTATTTTATTATTAATATTTTTTTTTGTAAATATTATTGGTTCAGTTCGGTTTTAATCGAACTCTTATGGTGATAATAATACATAAGTGATTGATAGCCTTTCGGTAACCGATAATCGGATAGCGTTACGAGCGATTCAACACGGTTCAATTTATTTTCTTGTCGGTTCAGCTTGTTTTTTGATTTTTGGTAACAAAAAAAATGTTATTCCTACATATATATATATATATATATATAAACTTTTGTTTCCCTTTATGATGTGTATATAATATAATGCTCCCCGTGAGACACATGTTAATTTGTCTACCGCTGATGTGACATGCATGCACACATTGGTGATGTATTTTTTTTAACATATTAACATCACCAATGTGTGCATGCCACATAAACAGTGAATATTTTAACATGTGCCCATTGTGGGTAGGGAGCATTACTATGTGTATATGATCGAATACTAGTTCTAAATAACACGGGTTTGTCCCATCTCTTTGATTATGATACATTTATACTCACACATTACAAATAACTCACACCCATACAAAGATATCTCAACCTTTGAAGAGCAGGTCATTGGCTATGCCCATCAAGCGGTGCAATGAGCCCGGCGAGAATTTTCTAGCAAACAGAAATGGGTCGGCCCTCTTCCTGAAACCCACAGTCGCGTTTGGCCCGCCCCTGTCCTCATCCCCGTATCTAGGCCTACTCTTCCTAAGGCCCATTAACAGCTCCCGGCCCACTTCATCCGCCCCGTACGTCCGCGGGTGTCCCCCGTGACCTCCCTTCCAGTCCACGTGGGTGAGCGTGCAGGGCACGCACCCCGACGGGTCCACCATGTTCAGCAGCGTCGGGAAGTAGTGCTCCTCCGGGTAACACGTGGCGTCCTCCCGGCAGGGCTGCCTGAACTTCGACCAAATCCGCGTGTCCCGCACGACCGCCCGCGCGTGCCTCCGTCGCAGCGCCCAGAACTGCGACCCGATCCGGAAGTCCGCGAACGCCACCTCCGGGAGCATCGCCTCCTCCCCACGCGCCGCCCACCGATCCCGTGCCCCGGGCTCGTCCCTCAGTATCTCGATGAAGCTCCGCCGGGAACTCACCAGGACGCGGCGCGTGTAACGGAAGGATCGCAGGGGGACGCACGACGGCGAGAGGAGGACGAATACTGCGTTGGACGCGTCGTGGAGGAGCGCGTGGGCGAGCAGCCTGCGCGCCGCCGAGATGAGGGTGGCGCTGTGGCGGCGGGTGGGCTTGGATGGGATGGCCCGGCCGGCAAAAACGCCGGAGAACGCTTCCGTGAAGTTGACGCGCGGGTCAGCGTGGACGTAGATGTTGTACAGGCTCCTGGGGACACGTGCGAAGTACAACTCCCAGAGGGGCGCGAGTGGGAGTGATGATGTGGTGAGGAACATGAAGGCCAGCTTCTTCGCGGGCTTTGGGCTCGGGTTGACCCGGGAGGCGAGGCTGAGGAGTGACACATCATCCTCGTCGTCCTTCTCCGCGGCGGCGGCGGTGCGGTTCTTGATCGATTGAGGCTCTGCTGATAGTGTTTTAATAATTAAGGTTGTATTCGTCGGAGAAGATGGGTTGGGGAGTGGCGGGGCGGCGCCGCCGACGGAAGTGACGGCGGAGATAGTGGAAGGTGTGGTGAAGGTGAAGATGGCGGCGAGGGGGAGGCAGAGGAGGAGTGCGCAGAGGAAAGAGAGTGGGGTCGGTGGAAACATTTTTCTTTCTTTCTTTTTTTTTTTTCAAGTTTTGATTTTTTTTAATGTAATGTGGTCTGAAAAAGATTGGTGTTGATGAGATGAGCACCAAAATACTATAGTTTTATACTTTTATTTTCAAAGAAACATTAAATATTTTTTAAGTCTTAAGAGATAAGTGTTGTTGAAATTCATCGAAAGTTGTTACGAGGCAGTGTACTCAAGTGATGGTTCGAGACGGCGGATTCACTATAAATAGTTGGACACCTCCCATTCAGTATACAATGCCTTTTTT